AACCAAGAGACACCCACAAGAACAGCCCAGCCAAGACAGGTGACAAGCACAAGAAATACCCAGGTAAGAGACAGGGGCCTGGATAGTCCTGGAATTGTGGGGGAGGCACATATACCCTCAGGAGGCCTTAAATGGCTCTACACTAATGCTTGGAGTATGGGGAACAAGCGGGAGGAACTTGCCCTCCTGCTAGCTAACACAACCCAGACATAATGGGGCTCACTGAAACTTGGTGGGATCCAACACACAACTGGGTGGTAAACATCAAGGGCTATGAACTGTATAGGCAGGATAGAACAGGGAGGAAAGGTGGGGGTGTGGTGCTCTACATCAAATAGCAATACACCTCCTCTGCAAACAGCACTGGGTCTGAGGTAGGGCAGGTGGAGGTGCTTTGGGTCAGAATACAAGGGGGTGGGGGGGAAAGGGACCTAATGGTGGGGGTCTACTATGGGCCACCTAACCAAAGGAAAGAGCTGGACCAGGAATTCTCAGGTCAGCTCAGAGGCAGTTAAGTCAAGGGACATGGTCATCATGGGTGACCTAAGCTACCTGGACTAGCCAAGTTACAGGACCTCCATCTAACCCAGGAGGTGCACAGTCCCACCAGGGGAAAAGCCTCGTTAGACCTGGTCCTGGCCACAGGCAATGATCTGGTGAGGGGACTGCGGGTGCTCAACTACCTGGGCGATAGTGATCATCGCCCACTGGAATTTACTATTCAACGCAGGGTGCCAAAGGCCTGCAGCAAGGCAGCAGCCCTGGACTTTAGGAGGACGGATTTCAATTAGGTAAGGAGACTAGTCGGGGAGGGGAGTTGGGAGTCCAAGAAGAGTGGTCGTTCCTGAAGGAGACACTCCTCCAAGCCCAAAGCATGACAATACCCATGCAGATCAAAGGGGGCAAGAGTGCTCAAAAGCCCTCATGGCTCACCAGAAGCATCCAGGAACGTCTTAAAGCCAAAAAGGAGGCATACACCCAATGGATGGAAGGGCCCACCACCAAGGAGGATTACCCCGCCTTGGCTCAAGATTGTAGGGGGGCTGTTAGGATGGCTAAAGGCAGAGATGGAACTGGGACTCGTGACCCAGATCAAAGATAACAAGTCCTTTTTTTAAATACATAGGGGGTAAAAAGAAGGTTCCGGGTAATGTGGGGCCTCTGCAGGACATGCTTGGTAATTTGGTGGTAGCACCAGATAACAAAGCTAATCTCTTTAACAGATTCTTTGCTTCCATTGTTCTGAGCAGGAACAGGGACACCCCCCCACTGGGATTCCGGATGGACCCAGGGGAGGCGTAGCCAGGCCCAGAGTCAGTGAGGACCATGTCAGGGAACTTCTGGAGGGACTAGTCATGTTCAAATCAGCAGATCCTGACGATCTCCACCCCAGAGTGCTTAGGGAAATGGCAGAGGTCATTGCAGGACCCCTGGCACAACTTTACAAGCACTCATGGTGCTCTGGCGAGGTGCCAGAGGGCTGGAAAAGGGCCAATGTGGTCCCCATTTTCACAGAAGGGAAGAAGGAGGACCCAGGAAACTATAGGCCCATTAGTCTTACCTCAGTCCTGGGGCAGCTCTTTGAGAAAATTATGCAGGAGCACATCTGCGAGGGGCAAGCACGGAGATTATGCTTAGGAGCAATCAACATGGGTTCATTAGAGGCAGGTCCTGTCAGACCAACCTGGTTGCCTTTTACAACCGGGTGACAAAAGCCTTGGATGCAGGTGTCGCAGTGGACATAGTCTTTCTGGACTTTAGGAAGGCCTTTGACACGGTCTCTCACCCCATCCTCATTAAAAAATTAGGCAAATGTGGTGTTGATGCCTACACAGTTGGATGGGTCACAAATTGGCTGGAGAGCAGCACCCAGAGAGTGGTGGTGGACAGGTCATTTTTGACCTGGAGGAACATGGGCAGTGGGGTTCCCCAAGGCTCAGTCCTCAGGCCCGCGCTGTTCAATATCTTCATCAGCAACTTGGACAAGGGGGTGAAAAGCACCTTGTTCAAGTTTGCAGATGACACTAAGATGCGGAGAGAGGGGAGCACGCTAGAAGAGAGGGACAGGCTGCAACCAGATCTGGACAGGTTACTTGTCATGCATCCATAGATGCATCACGAGCAGGTCCAAAAATCCTCCCCCTCTATGCAACACTGGTCAGGCCACAGTTGGAGTACCATGTCCAGTTCTGGGTGACGCACTTCAGGAGGGGTGTGGATAGCATTGAGAGGGTCCAGAGGAGGGCCACTCACATGATCAGGGGCCAGCAGAGTAGGCCCTATGAGGAGAGGCTATGGGACCTGAACCTGTTCAGCTTCCACAAAAGAAGGAAGAGAGGGGATCTGGTGGCTGCCTATAAACTTGCTAAGGGGGACCAGCAGGCAATGGGAGAGTCCGTGTTCCCCCGAGCACTACTGGGAGTAACAAGGAACAATGGCCATAAGTTGACTGAGAATAGATTCAGGCTAGACATCAAGAGGCACTACTTCACAGTCAGGGTGGCTAGGATCTGGAACCAGCTTCCAAAGGAAGTTGTGCTCGCTCCTACCCTGGGGGTCTTCAAAAGGAGGCTAGACAACCATCTCGCCAGGGTCATTTGACCCAAGCATCCTTTCCTGCCCATGGCAGGGGGTCAGACTTGATGATCTCCTTAGGTCCCTTCCGACCCTACCAACTATGAAACATGTCCAAAACTTTGGTGTGTAATAGCCTCTCATAAATCTCGAAGTCAACAGAAAACTTGCAATTACAATTATATTCCATTTATGAACAAACTGTAAAATATGTTTTTAGATTTTCTGTTTTTAAACAGAAAAACTCCAACTAGACAGCATAATGATGAATTTGCAGTGTTCACATAATATCCTCCCCTTTTCCCTGGAATCCTGGATCATCTATCAGACCATAAATGTAATTTAACTAGAATGACTAAGAGTGCATGTGCAGCAGAGAGAGCATGCCCATGCATGCACAACTCATGAAGTTACTTCTCTTTTTTCCTACCAAATACACCAAGTATAGGCACATGCGCACAATCATACAACATGCATAGTTACCATCCTCTTTTAGACGTTTCCAGTTTATAAATTTTGTTTCTTTTTTATGGAGCTTATTCACTTGTGTGAACCTCAGAGCCTGGTCCTTCCTCTGCATTAACTGCTGCTCAAATGCAATCCTGAAGGCATCTGCCATTATGTAAGCTTCATCTTTACTTTTCTTCAGACGTTCAATCTATTTGTAATTGAGAGAACGTTTAAGATTTGTTACAGAAGTTGGGAAGCCTAAACATAATTAAAAAAAAAAAAGGACAGACTACATCCATCAAAACCTTACAGAACCACTGTGTACTCTGTTCTGGTAACCCCCTGCTAACCCGATGCACGCGCGTCCAGGCACCGTCAGATGATGGGGGGGGTGTGCTTGCACTCATGTGTGGGCAGGGTCAGTGGGTGTGGGGGGAAGAGAGGGCAGGGGCAGTGCATGTGTGTTCATAGGATGAGTCCCACATACACACCCCACCATACACATGCACCCACACCTCCCCTTGCAATGCCATACACACAGCCCCACACACCCACATCCTCTCATACACCACTGCCATCCTCCTCCCACACACAATCCCACACAAACCCAAACCCAGACACCCCCACAAGCCTATACACCGCCCCCCATATAAGACTTCAGTTTAATATATTGTTCAATCACCTCTGTGTACACTACACAAACATGTAAACCAGGGTAAAATATTTTTTTAATCAAATTAATGAATGCTACAGATGTTTGCTTTTTATACTATAAATTGGTATCTTTCTGGTTCCGAGATAGCAAAACCCCTTGCTGAATGGAGTACTTCCAGAGGCAGCCCTTTATAGCTTGCCAAAACTCAGTAAAGCAGCCCTCCGCCCAAAATAATTGCCCACCCAATCCCCTGTGTGACTGCCATTCCTAAACCCTCCCAAACGACTCACTTAAAAAAAACCCAAAAAAACATTTAAGCAGGATATGAAATCCTTCCTCTCCCCTTCACTGTCGATATGCATACTCTGCCCCTTCTGCCTTTATGATAGCACTGTTTAATTTTGGGACAGCTTGAAGAGTAGCAAGAAAATCACATGTCACTTGTACTCAGAACTGCTATCATTCCATAGCTGTGTACGTATGCAAAAGAATCACGTTACTAGAAACTGATGAAAAAGTATCATGGGACCAACTCAGGAAAAAATAGTGCCATGATATTAGTTACGCTCCTTTTACATGTTACAAGTATTGTATTACCTTGAGATCAGCTACGTGTGCAAAGTAGCTATTATACAATACAAAGCTCCAACCAGCTATGAAGTTAGACCTCGAAAATATGTACCAACTTCATAGCTGGTTGCTATCAAGATTTAATTTGCAGTTGTAGCAGGGGCTGGGAGTCCCACAGCTGGGGACTCTGGGTGTCAGCAGCACCCCACAGCTGGGTCCTTGGTCCCTGCAGCGTACCCCCTAGAAAGCCCCCATGGTGGGAGGATCACTGCTGAGGCAATATCCCAGCCCTCAGGATGTGTGATATGTCATGGTGGGAGGACTGCCATAGGAGTGATTCCCCCTCCCTCCCCCCACCAGGAGGCAGAGAAACCCCCAGAGCTGGAGGATCACTCCAGGGCTCTCTCTCCTTCACAAGGGTGCAGGCAACCCCAGGGCTGGAGGATTGCTGTAGGGGTGATCCTCCAGCTCCAGGGGTTTCCCCACACCCCCGGGACTGGGGGAGAATTGCCTCTGTGGAGATCCTCCAGCTCCAGGGTGATCCTCCCACCCTGAGGGTTTCATACACCCCTGGGGCAGGTGGAACCCCTGCAGCTGTAAGCCCCTCACCTGGGGTGTGTGGACCTCCCAATTGCTGGAACTTGTTTCTTGCTGGTGTGGTAGGAGCCTAGGATTGGGCTCCCCCTGCACCAGAAAGACGACATGATGAGATTTAATGCATGATCCCACAATTGCATGTCCTGCCATGTATGTGTGGCACAACAGGAAGTGTGATCATGTGAACTGCGCATTGGATCACATCATGCCTTTACCTGCATGTATAGCAGGGTCTTTATTTTCAACATTGCTGCTTGAATAGGAATTTCAAACCTATACCTATAGAAGCTTGAGGAAGGGTACTTTGAAGAATGCAAAATAAATTTAACACTTCCTATCCTTTGAAAAATTAAAAATAAATTTACCAAGTTACAGATTAACAAAATTTATGTTTTAATTGATACATATTGGATTTTTCCTCTCAAAATATACTGCAATTTATGTGGAAGGTGATTCCTAAAAAGGAAAAAAAAAAAATATGTAAAATTGTAGGACTTTGCTCCTTGATTTGAACAGGGAAGCTAGGGGGAGGGAGATTTAAAAATCAAATCTTACGTTTTTTGGCCTGATTTTTGCATTTATATTTTTAATCTCATGATTTTTATAGCCTCATTCAGGATTCTTTAACTATTGGGAATGACAAAACTGCAGTTTTGATTTAAGACAAACATTTTTCATGGATTACTAAAGATTGTGTAGAGTCCAAATATGATAATCCGGATCTAAAGTGTCATATCAGACTCAACAGAAAACTGCCATATGATAATTTAGATAATCAGTTCTACAACCCACCCCTGACATCACTGCTGGAAAAAAAAAAGTCCCATACTGATTTGGAGGCAAAAATATTACCCAATATCTAGCCAAGTTCATCTTCTAGCAACTGCTAAACCATCCCTATTAAATTTAACTTTGATCTAGTCTACACTAGAGCTAAGTTTCATAGGTTGGCTATACCAACAAATCCTCACAGCTTATACAGCAAAAGAGCACTTTATTGCCAGTGTAATTGCATTTATGGGATCTTCTGCCAGCACGGAAGTGTTACTAAGAAAAAAAAAATTCTCTCACTCCCTTACCTAGCATTAGTCAAACAGCAAAAGTTTCTAGACTATGATTATTATTTGTATGACCCACAGCACATACCAATATTGATTTTCAGAAGTTTTGAAACCTTTTGTTTTTTAAATACATTTGATTGCCCAACCAGCAGCTGGTTTGGAATATTTTCTTGAAAATGAAACATCTGTTCTGCTCCACATCCAAGCAATACTGTCTTACCTCTTGTTTGAGCTGCAGGAGCTGCTTTCGAGTTACAGCTGACATTTTGGCACAGGAACAGGGCTCTCCAGAAGGATTACAGGTGCAGGCTCCAAGAACTGCCAACTTCAAATTCAAAAGCATTACACCAGTTACTCAACTATGTTCACACTAAAATAAAATCTAAAGAATCTAGTCTGTTTGAAGCAAAAATACCCAGAGATCATAGTGGTTGGTGGGGGTCAAGGAAACCAAACATGATTATGTATGCCTGTTTAAACTTGAAATGTGACAAGTGATATTTGCTAAATACACTTTACAAAAACATTAGATTTGTTGTGGTTCCCGAGTTCCTTTATACATAACCATTTACAATACAACCTATAATACTCATTATGGCAATTCAGTGCTTGGTTCAAAGTCTTGCTGCAGCATGTCAAAGGTGAGAGCTGAAGGGGGATTTGGGTATTCTCTATTCAGGGCTCATCTACATTGAAAATTAAGATAATTAACTAATGATGTGAGGTTAAGGAATGTTCATTAAAGCACAATAACACTTAAAGAAACTTCTCATTCAGAAGTGACATAGATTTAGTTTACTGTAGGAAGATTAAGTTGCAAACTAAAGCCACTTTACTTCTAAATGAGCGTACTCATATAGGATTTTTAATGTGTTATTACAAATATTCCTTAACTTCTCACCTTTAGTTAATTCATCTTAATTTCCTGAATATTTCTGAAAATGGGACCCCTAGTAACTGAATAAAAGGAATCAGGAAAGGACTGCTCATAGCCAGGCTAGAATTAACACTTTTGGGAGCATGGAATCTATTTGCTATAACATGATTGCCCTTGCGAACGTTTCCACTCTTAGCCTGGGAAATTCAGTTTTGCATACATTACAAAATGATCTCTCAAAAATCCATCAGACCTTTAATCATATAAACTAGATTCGTAGCCATCACTGTTTTTGCCGCATTTACAGCATAACAGACAGGATAGTGGACCATTTACAGCTTCAAATGCACAGAAGCCAGCTGCAAAAGCAGCTCCCACCAAACTGAAGGGGGACAGAGAAAAGATTCAACAGACTATTTATACTTTAATAAGGTTTTCAGGGAATAGATCTGTTTTCTCCTTAAGAAAAAATGTTAAGCTTCAAGACAAAGTAATAGCCATGCAAGCTTGATGTTTCTTCCTTCCCTAAAGTAGCCTCAAAGCATCCAAATGCTTGAGTTTGGATGCTACTATTGCAAACCTGTAGGGGCATGTCTACTATTTGCTAATAAAAGTCCATATTGTATTCTCAAAAATTATCCAAATGAATGTACTGGAAAGAAATCTACCTCCTGGAACTTTGTTACATAGTAAGCAAATTCAGCAAACCCAAAACATACTTTTAAGCCACCTTTATTAAAAAAAGGGAGGGATGAAGGAAAACTCCTACTTACTTCAAGACCTGTAATATCTGTAAATCCAGTTTTAAAAGACATGTTTTCCTGAACAATTTTCTGTTGTTTCACATCAAGCATTGCAAGAAATTCCAAGTGCTGCTGACTCAGAACTATGAAATCAAACATTAAATTAATTTATTATTATTCTAATCCCTCAATGCCTAACTACACTCAAATTAAACAGCTCAGTTGAGTGTTTAAAACATCAGGTTAAGAATATGTAAACTCCATAGAACAGTGATGTTGAGTGTACTGCAAAAGTGACAGAAGTGTGCTGTGAGATTCTTCCTGGGTAGAGGTAAATGCTCTCCTCCCCTGTCCAGCACTCTGCCCCCAATCCAGCTACTCCAATGTCACCTGCGGCGGCTCCTCTGGGGACTGCCACTGCTGCTGCCACCTTCTCCTGCTCTTCCGTGTCCCTAAGTAGCTCCAATCCCATCCCCCAACCCACACTCAGCAGCATGCTCTCTTGCAAGCATATGGACACAGACAGAGCCACACTTTGCAGCTGGGCTCAGCCCCTCCAAACTCCTAAATCGCAGAAGGAGCCGCAAGGATGGTCCCTGGCATGAGATCCTGCAGGAGTGGCCTCAGCAGCAGGGGGCTGCCCAGTGCTTCCTGAGGTACAGGGCCAGGAGGGGACAGACAATGGAAAGAGCAAGGCACAGCAGGGTGAGGGCCTGCCCCCACTGCCCTTAAGTGGCACCAGCTAGATCAGGGATTCCCAATTTCCTTAGCCTTAAGGCCCCACTCCATATCTTTTTGGAATTTAGATCTAGCTCAGTGATTTTTTAGCTGGGGTGCTACAAAATTCAAAACAGTTATGGACAGGTGCCTTAAGGGTAAAAAGGCTGAAACCATTGGTACGGAGACTAATCCTTTTCTTTAAAGGAAAGATGTGTTTGGTGTCATTTTTTAAAGAGTACATCTCAGGACTGGTACAATTTCCTCTTGTAGGTGACGGGATTATGTTATATGTTTTGAAAAACACACACACACGCTCTCACACTTTTTCAGGTGTAAGAGTGCCACCAATTTCAATCTGGAAAAAAAGCATCTCTGGGTATAATAAAATATGGGAGAAATTGCCCAGAGAAAAAGTCTCAAACCTGAGCAATCTTTCCTCCTTCTAGGACAAGGATCTAAAGTGCTTTCATAAAGAGGACTGTATTTTGAACAGATATTATATCACAACATGCCTCTTCACTTATTTGCCACACACACAATCACTTCTGTTCCAATTACAACTACAGTAATTGTTAACTTTTAAAAAATATTGCATGGAAAACATTTAGCACCTTTTTGATATTTGGAAATAAAGTGGAAGAGTTAGCACTATCCATCTCTCTACAGGCTTCAGTCTAAGATCCTCTGCTCTAAAATAAGTAACCTATGTATTCTACAGTTCATGCAGTGGAAACCTTCTAGCTGAGTTATTAAAACTAGGATCCTCACTTCCCTGGGAAGTCATAAATGCTTGCATGGTGATGTTCATAAGAACAAGAGTTTGCCCTGGCTTTCTTGGGCTCCCTGCGTCCAGCATAACAGGGAGACATTGCCTTCTGTGCCCAACTCAGCAGTGTAAGGATGCAGACAGGTGCCTGGGGCACAGGAACAGCAGTGACTCTGGTTGCTGCTTCAATCACAATTATGATTGCATGGCTGCTGGCAGCAGATGCTTTTTTCTGCATCCCCTTCAGGACTGTTATCCCATTTGCCTAGCCACTGCCTCAAGTGGCCATTTTTCAGTGGTTTTATATATTTTGACGTACTTCAGGATTTTTGGAATAAAATCTACGCTACGCCATACATGTGCACGCAATTCTGTATGTATAGGTTTGTACATCATTATAGCTTTATATATCATATAATTTATAATTCAGCAATACATGATATAATAAAACAATTTTTATATTTTGTACTTGGATGTAAGAGTTTGCTCTAAAGTAAACTCTGAACTTTTAAACCTTGTTTTTGCTATCTTCATAGATTCTCCCAATTTTACTGCATTTCTACTCCATCTTCCAAAAAAATGGACTATAAGCACCAGTTTCATTTGAAACAATGTTATTTTGTTTACTGGCACTCTTGATATTATTATTATTACTGTTGCCTTTTTCATGCCAACTGCATAGTTTTCACATAATATTCTAAGAGAGCAGTTGAATGTGAACACACACACGCAAAATAAACAAATCTCCACTTTATTTTTTTGTTCCCAAAATTTGTCAGTGTGTCAAAGAAAGAAGTCAAAGTTAAGTTTGCTTCAGAATTCCCTACTTTATAGTAAGAGGTGTAACAAACAAGTGAATAGAAGGCAAGGATTTTTGTGGATGATCTTTTATTAAAATGCTGGTTTTTAGCATTTTACTTGAATTCCAATTTTACTCCAAACAAACCTCAACAGAAATCAGAAGTAAAATTAAATCTAATAAACAGGAAACACCATTCACCATTTTAACATAATAAAAAGTAAACATTAATAATCTGAATAAATGTATGTTAAACTATGTAACTATTTAGAAGGTATATGTAATGTATATTCATTGTTAACCAATAAATATCAATTTTAGTGTAAAAGCTACGTGTAGTAGTAAATCAACACAATTAAAATGTGTACCAGATGGTGATGACCAACCTTTTCTCTGGCAAACAACCCAAATATAAAACCAAATAAAAAGTGATTTAAATCAATGTTTCTTGGTTGTTAATGTAAATGATCATTGAAATCTAGTTGGTTTATATCAATCTACATCCTAGCCCACTTCCTTCCTATACACTCATATCTTACTATTGTACATACATATACATTTATAAAAAAATATATATATAGCTGTAAGTTGAGATCTCCAAGCACTACCTGTTAACACAGATCTCTACACCCAAAATTAAACAAAGCAAAATCTGATGATCATCATACAGCGATCATGGGATGAAAATCCACTGGTTCTAAGAGTGACAAAGTTCTATGCTAGGAGTAATGCTGTCTTTAACACGCACACAATTCCCTTTAATACCATCTTGACTTCCATCCCATGACATGTCAGTGATATTACATGCCCCGCCCAACAGTACTCAGGGGGAAATGGCTGGGTGTGGGGGTCAGGTTGAGGTTTGGGGCCTAAACATGAACAAGTAAAAAAAAAAAAGAGTTCTTTTAATATTACACTCATTTGAGCTATTACATACCATCCATTCAGATATCACAGTCTATTGCTAATGGAACCCCTTGTGAGGAATTACTACTCTTTAGCATATTCAGCCAAAAATTTTAAAGTAAATATCTTTCCTCCCACATCCCAAAAATAACACTAAAACCATGGAATACAGTCATTTGTCATCAAGCAGAGACTGCAGGATAAGTGTACTTTTTCAGCTCTACAACAGCATTGCTGAAGTTACATGTTACAAGCTGTGAATTCCTGTCTTTAGTTATTGGGTCCTGGAGCTTCAAAATTCATGAAATAATTTGTTAAGTATGGCAAGTTCTAATCTGGTAGTATAGTTAAGGCTAAAGCATTCCCATGTGTAACCACTAAAAACAGGTACCTTGATTATGCTTCTCTCTTAATAGCCATGTCAAAAATGTTAAATCCTTTTTCATGATTTGGTAAGATTAATTTTTAAGAGATGTAAAACTACTAAGAAAATCTGCACTTTCTTACTTGTATTTTCAGATTTAAGACTCTTGACTTCATCTGTTCTCAGTTTCAGCGTTTCCTTAAGAGCTGCATTTTCACAATATATCCTGCAGAAATTGGAAACAGAGTTTTATTGCCTTTGAAAAAGTTATTAAAATGTACACACAAGTTAACAGACAAGCCCACATACACACGCATCTTAAAATGTTATATGCAGTATTTTTGTAAATTATAATCAGAAGTAGAGAAACATAAAAGAAACTTCTTAAATTTTTTCATTTATGTTTTTGACAAAACTGTTCCCTTTCTTGTTTGTGAAAGTTTTACACAACAACGAAGGAGCAAAGAAAATATTTAAAGAAAATGAAGATATAAACCCACAAAATCCTGGTACATTGGTCAGCAGCCAGTAAGTAACAGAGAACTACTTTTCATTCATTTGGGAGTAGAAAGGTGAACAGAAACCCTTGATACCAAGATGACGACAGCATATTATAAGAGGCAATGAATTCTAGCAGGAGATTTTGCTAATATTTATAACCCTGCTATTTTAATAGAAACGTAAGTCCTTGTTACATATTTTAAGAATATGAAAATACACCTTCAAAGCCTTTTCAAAAAATACTTAATATTTACACATTTATGATTTTTAAAGATACCTGAAAACACATCATCTAGAGAGACTACGGAAGATCAGTATCCTATTGTCGCTATGAACAGTCATTAAGACATGCAATTGTGAATTTTTAAATCTCTCTTAAAGGAGAAAACTGAAGGTTTCTTGTTGCAGGTTGGCAGCCTTCCAGCCTGCAAAAAGCTGCTTGGGACTGGGGAAAGCAGGAGGAGGGTGACTGGAGGCACGGGGTACCACATGCATCTGTGTGTGCACATGCATGTGGTCAGCATACAGTCAGGCAGGGTGATGGGAGCAGCCCCGGTAGCTGCATGCAGGTAAGTCTACAGTGGGTGGGGTTGGAGTGGTGGCAGAGATGTGTGGAGGGGATGGGTGCCTGCTGGTGCTGGTGGGAGGTGTCTAGAAGTGGGGGCTGCGATGGGGCAGGTAGCTGCCAGTGAACCCAGCTCCGCACTGTTGCCAATGGGGCCCGCCCAGAACCGCCTGCCCCTCCAGCAAGGAAATGGTGTGGCGAGGTCTTTTGGGAGCATGGGCAGTGGGGAGCCGCATTGCCAGGCCAGTGACAACAGGTGCCAGTGCGCGTGTTGTCAGGGGCAGGGCAGCTGGGAAACGCTGCCTGGGGGGCCATGGTCAGGCCACCTGATGCAGCACAGAAGTCCCAACCCAGGGTGGGTGTGCCATAGACACCCCCTCCTCCTTCCTCCAGCCTGTGCCAGGATCAGACTTGTGCCTCCACTGCCTGCATAAGCCTCACCTGGAGTTCCTCACCCTGCTTTTTCTGCCTGCAGCACAGCCAGGACAGAGGCACACTCCACTTCACACTGCTGCTTTGGAGTACGGTGCTGGTCCTCCCTGTTGCACCCCAGCCCCAGCCAGGGGCGCAGGGCAGTGTGTGGTGCCCCAGTCACAGCCTGTGGTTATGCATGAGGTATGCTGCAAGCATCTCATGCTGGAGGCTGTCCCCCTGTGTCTTGCAAACCACCATCCTGAGTCTGCATGGGAACAGGGCAACTGGGGCCCCCCCCTCCGGCAGGGCTTGTGGGTTAGGAGTGAAGGGTACTGGCAGGGCCTGGGGGCCACAGCTCAGTAGTGAGGGGCACCAGGGGACTGTGGGTTGGGAATGAGGGGCACTTGCTCGGCCGGGGGGGGAGGGGGGTTGCAGGTTGGGAGTGAAGAGCTCTAGCACAGATGAGAGCTGTGGGGTTGAGACAGAGGCAGCAGCGGGGACTAGAGGCTACGGTTTGGGAATGATGGGCACTGGCAGGGATGGGGGCCTGTGGGTCAGAAGCAAGCAACAACGGCATGGCACGGCACAGCTGTGGGGGCAGGGGGAAGAGGGGGGAGGACTGGGGCAAGACACCAGCATAACAGGGCTATTCAGCTTTGTAAAGTTTGAAGGGGAGGGGGACACCACAGCTAGACCCCCATCCTAGTGAGTGAAGGGGGCAGGGGGAGCTATTTTTCCATGGTAAAAAAAACAAAAACAACAACAACAAAAAAAATCAAACCCCCAAAAATATATAAGTATTTAGAATTAATTTTATTATAATGATTGAGGCACGGTAGGCTTCCAAAATGCTTTAAAAATGTAAATATAATCAATAAAGCATTGTATGTATTGATTTTTAACACAGTGTTGTGTTTCATTCTAATCACAAAAATGAGGATTTGGGACTTTTTAAAAGCAGAGAATTCGGGGTTTTTTTTTTTTAAGTTACAGTATTTGGGATTTTTAGAGAGAGAAAACCAGGATCCCTGCTGATAAGCAGAAGACTCATTTTGACTATGTAGCTGAAATACAAAGATACACAATCTTATCTAGTTGTTTCAAACATCAGAATATTTTTTGCAAAGCTGAATGAACTCATGAGTTTAAGGGAACACTGGTGATAATGCTGACTTTGCTGGAAAAGCGATAAGGAAAAAAACAAAACTTAAAAACAACTAATTTCCATGTTTTTATCCACTTGTTCTATGCTCATTTAAAAAATTTAAATAGTCTTCACTAAAATATCTTACTCCACTTTTTGGGACTTCAGATACATTTTTTAATTTCAAATAACCAAAAGAAAATCATCTGGTTACTGCTTGTCATTGTTCACAAGCGTGTTACTGATATAGCATTTTTTGGCATACCCTACCAAGTAACTGCCGTCATCAGTAAACAACTCTTATTTAAAAGAGTCATCAAGTAGGAGTATCACATTCCACTTGAGCTCTACTCTTACTCATACATCATGTAAAAAATAAAACAAGCAGTCATTAATCACTGCGTGATATTTCCACATGAATGCATGTAGCAGTATTATTTTCTATTTTTCATTAAAGAACAAACGAATGAACAGCTTGAAGCCAGACAGCTAGTAGGACAAATTAGTCAGACTGAACTGAAAACTCACACTGGCAAAACCACCTGATACAGAATAAAGTTTTCAAGACTAGGGAATTAACAATTATGGTCTTCCAATTGAAAAACCCACCCCAAAGAAACAGGCATGACTAGGCTACTACAGGGGACTGGTATATTTTCTGAGATCCAGAATGAAATTAGAAAAAGCAAACAAACAAACCCCCCCAGAGAATCTCATATGACTGCACCGATTATAATTAAGATGTGTACAAGATGCAGTAAAATCCCCGTTATCCGGCATTCTATCATCTGGAATTTCCAGCCGGCCGGCCGGACACAGGGGAGGAGGGAAGCTTGCATGCAGCATCCGCCACCACCCTGCACTGCTCCATGTGCAGCTGCTGCCACCTTCACTTTCAATCCCATCTCCACATCTGTCCAGAAACCTGCGCTCCCCAGGAACCAGCATTTTTAGATGTCTGGCAACCCCCACTCCTCACTCATGCCAGATTCCAGGGATTTTACTATATTTAAAAGATGGAAGATTACATAATTGGATTCAAATACCTATCATATTTTTCTGTCCAGGTCTCTTCTATGTTTTTAAATCGATCCTGATCATATTCAATCTCCCATTGCAAAGCATTTATTTCCTAGAGAAAAAAAAAAAGCCACAGCAATGATCCATTATAAGAACAACATCATAACACAACTTTAAACATGAGACTCTCCCTACACCTACCTCTTTTATCCAAACAGCTGCTTAATTCTCAGCACCGTCTCCCTTAACATCAGAGTTCAGTTCTACTCTGCAAGGTGCCAGTTAGTCACTAACCCACCCAGTAATTCTCAGATTCAATTTAAAAAGTACTTGCCTTAGAAAACTTAAGTGTTAATTCCTAACTAGTCTTGTAAAATCATCAAAATAGGAGCAATAAAAATATACACACTTAAACTAATCCTATAGAAAGCATCTAAAGGTAGGCTCTACATTCAATTGTGAAGTATAGGGAGGTCTTTTGCAGTATCTTCAGATACTAAAATACACTTGTTTAGTCAACCTACTGCAGAAGTCTGTGTGGACACTTATTTGATTTAAACCAGACTTATTTTGGTTTAGTTTTAAAAAACAGATCAGAAATAGATTTAAGCTTAACTGAAATAAAACACCCAATTTGTAGCTGGATGTTTTTACTTAAAGAAATTATTTAAATTCTTTGTTTGTTTAATAAAAATCACTTACAAATGCAAAACAAAATTAATAAAATGCACTCTTTTCTGTTTGTATCTAGCACTAAAAGCTAGTTTTGTGCACTTAAAAAAAAATTCTTAGTTTCCAATCATGTGCCACTTGACACAGAAGTAAGATAAATAAGAAATATCATTGTTACAACATAATAAAATTCTGAATAACTGCATCAAGATATATCAACTTATTGTATATGTATAGATAAACATGCGTCTTCCTGATTAACAAGTACTACCTATGGTATTAACCTTTAAGAAGCAATAATTCTTTTTGAATGAGAACAGCTAAATAATATGAATGCAAAAAACAGATTAAAAATGGTTACATTTTTAATGATTCCTGCTTGCTCATTTAAATAGTAACTTAATTTGGTGGCTCAGATCAAATCAGCAGAACCTTCAGTGTAGTTGTTAACTATACTAAAACCTTAAATATTGTCCAAGATCCTGCTATGCCACACACTGTAATTGCTATAGTATGTTTTTTTGACAGTTTTATTTTTAGCATGGAAAGATCTTTAGGCTAGTTACAGTTTGTTAAGAAGTTAATTCAATCATTTTCCAATTGCATTCATACAGTCTCTTTACCTATGGTTTATAACCTTACATCTCATGGTAGCCTTCAAAAGATCCAGTGGCACACCAGGGTGCTCCAGCACTCTGCTTGAGAATCACTGTTCTAGACTGTATTCCAGGGATCAAAAGCCTTTTGCTAGCATGTCTGGAACTTGAGATCAGGCTGTGGCTGTGAGCTGGAAGTCTCTACCCATCACCCTCCAGGGGCCAGCCAGGTGCCTGCACTCACTTTTGCTGTAGATCCCTAACCCCTTCACAGTGAGGGTAGTGCAGCAGGCTCTGCAGCAAAGGAGAGAGCTCCAGAGGGGATAGGTGTCATCATGCAGTTCTGTGCCACTGATCCCCCATGCCAGATTGGACCTTTGAGAGCTAGACTGGATTTTTTTTCAGGCTAGATCCAGCCTGCAGGCCATAGGTTACCAATCCCTGCATTAGTCAGGTGGAATGCTGTCTCATTGTAACATATTACTGTACAAAATGTACTGCATGAGTTCTCATATGCAGTTCTTACAGATAGAAGAAAATTCCATGTTAATATCCAAATGCAATGTTTTGCACTTGTCCAATTCCCACCAACATATCTGTAAACTGTTCACATATTTGACGTTGCATATTACAACCTGGTAACATTACCTAGAAACACCAATAGATACAAGTTTAACAGTTGACTGCAGGGATACAAATTCGTTTAACAAAAAAAAAAATAGATAGTATTTTCAGATTGAACAGGGTAAAAATCACTTGCCCTAAAGTCCTTCTGCAATTACATTCTCCTGTTTTTAATAGGAAAAAAGTCCATGAAAAGTGGACACTGTTTAAAACTCAGGTTTTCAAGGGAAATAGAATTTTGGTACATCAAATAATCCCAGCATAAGTAATTTTACTTGAAAAATAATATAAGTTACTATCAAGTCTCACTAAATGCACAAAGTAAACCCACTGGAAACAGTACTCTCTCCTCATTTCTTTAAGATAGTCTAATACATTATTTGTAAATCATGATGGGTAAAAGTTGTTCAAACCTAAGTGCAATAAATTAACACTGCCACTTACAGCTACAGTGATAGAACCACCGCCAGTCAAATCCAAGCAGAAACTAAGACCTGTATTATGCCCCAAAATAGCAAGACCATCTATTCATTATAAAATAATGTAGCAGATCTCAGCAGGAAGAGAAAAGTCTGTACATTTACCTTTTCTAAAGTTCGCTTTTCTTCCTCAGCTTTTTGAAGCATTGCCTTTGTATGACTAGTGGCTTTATTAAACACAGCCTGCAGAAAAAAAGAAGCAGCTGATACAGTCAAGCCTCAGGCTTTATGAACTAATTAAGTCACTGTATTATTTTATATTGTCTGGAGTTGGAAAACTAGGGTCATAAATAATCATTAAAATATTACTAGTTCATGTACAGGTTAAGGGCAAAGGAAGCAAGGTAAGAATTGGAATATATGATTTTAAGTTCCAGTATCTAAAACTTGTAAAAGGCAAGGCTGGAACTCACTAGCATATAAGTACATCTTTTGGGAAAGCTGGGATCACTAGCTCAAATGACTTATGAAAGACAAAACCTTACATATGTGACTAACAGCACCTAAAAAAACCTCGCTTCCTGCAAAAGCAGCACACAAACCCCTAAAAAAATGTTAACTATATTGCGGTTGGTTTTAAGAGTACCTCTCAGTTGAGGGATATGATCAGACTACAGTTTGCCTCTTTCTGTAACTGCCACATGGAAATATTAATAGATGCTAATATATTAAAGCTGCTAACTGAATAGTTATTGTAGCAGGTGTTGGCAACCCATAGTGCAAGACCAAATTTAGGCCACAAAGCCATTTTATCTGGCCCCTGGAGCTGGGGTTCCTCTGTGGCACTTCGGCAGTTGATGGTTACTCTCACATTTGGGTCAGATGGCGGGGAGAGTTGTCAGGCTGCGCTGGAAGCAGTCCATGCTGCAGGCTAAGCTCTGACCCCGCCCCCCCACACACATTGTCAATGCTTTAAAATTAAAACCTTGTTCTTTAATTTAGCTTATTATTTATTTTTAAATAAACATCACTGATTTCAAAACAGTTCTTACCATGTTTTGTAGAATTCTTAATGCTTCACCTTTCCCTTCAAGTTGTCTTTGTGATGTTTCCAGTTCAACTTTTAAAATCTCTATCTCCTGGGGTTAAAAAAAAGAAACCAGTGAGTAAAAGCCAAGATATTTTTCTTAAGTCTCAGCTACAGCAGGATTTATCATCAAATGTGACCTTTTCAAGCAATAATCTTTCTATTATGTTTTAAAGCCTGCTTCCAATTACTTAACACTAATGAGAGCGCACATTAAACGTGAAATCTATACTAAAAATACACAGTTAAGTAATCTTTGTATTCTCTGCAAATGTATTTTGAAAATAAGTTACTGTATTTTGCAGTTGTCACTCCCATAGTCAATTATTTATTCTGAGACAGCCCTGTGTGTGATATATTCTGCTCACTTTCTTTAATTTTGCTACAGTTCCAGTGAACTTTGTGCTTCTGGATGGCTCATGGGACATTACTAGAACAGGACTTCAAACTAGCTCTCTGATTTGCAGAGCCCACGTTTATCTGGGGATCTTTGAGTATTTCTAGATCTCCAAATAAAACGTTGCACTCTGTTTTAATACAGTAAATACAGATTTCAAAAGCAGCACACTTAGGACTAGTACTAACCTCTAGAGCTTCTTGAAGGTGTTGCTTTAATTCTTCATTTGGCACTTCATAATTAGACTCTGTATAAAATTGATAAGAGACACCAAGACATTCACAGAACTCCCCTTGTTTTCTTAGGTTTCTTTACCTTTACATTGGTAAGAAAGCATTACAGCCTTATTAAATCGGTCTTTGTACTTTTCTGAGGCTAAATAAAAATTATTAAATATACAATAAAACTGTACGTATGAACTAATCTATAATATTTCAGTTGCAAAACAATCAAGTTAGAAAAAATGCAGCCCTAATGAAATATGAACAACTGAAACCCCCAAAGACGTTTCATTTTAAAGTATTTTTTTCAACATATTTAAACTAAACTAATGTTTTAGATTTTTAGCAATTACAAAAAATTAGACATCAGGTGTCCACAAAATCTCAATTCTGCAAGCTGGTCTTATGCAAGCTGTCTGTACTGAAATATGTGGAGGGGAGTACTCTTCCCTTTTATAAATATAGATCCCAGGTGGTTTTTGTGGACTCAGATTTTCTTCTAGGCCCTGAACCTGCATTGAGTTCCACAATCAAAACCCTGCTGAACATGGAGCCAAATGTGCTCTGAATCCATTTGCCTAAGCTCATTATATGACAAAGGTCTAGGCAGACTGCCAACACCAGCAGAGTAAAACTAACTGGAAGTGTTCTATTCCCATAAATTTCCCACACATTCTGCTAACAACACAGGAAAAGAGTAAGTATATGTGATGGTTTGCCATGTGAAGTGGAAGGCAGCAGGGATAAAAATCAAAAACAAGACCACAGGGAAAAAAACTCAGGCTGCAGATAAGAAGGAATATCTTAAAAAAAAAAAAAAAAAAAAAAAAACTA